GCGCCTAAATGTTTTAACCCCGGGGTTTTAACCCGCCGAGTATCAAACAAAAACATTCTTATGGCCGTGACTTGCAAGGACTGACACACAAGGAACGAAACATCAAGACAGAATGTGATAAGTCGAACATTGCCAGTCTCTGGGAATACCGTAACGACTTCCTATGATTTTAAACAATTTGTCTTCCCTCGGTTGGTGATAAGGCACAATTACAAATGAAGGAGGTCCTATCTTTTCTGGAACTCCATATAATAAGCTCACTGTTTATATTAAAAACTGGATCATTAAATAATGCAATTCAAGAGTTCATGAGCCATTATACCATCCTCTACAAATTTGGTAATCGTGCACGTAATTTTTGGGGGTGTTTTTACCTTATTTTAGTTTTCTTTCCACTCGCGCTTGTTGGATATGAGTTGGCTATCTACCTTGTCATATCCAACGCGCGCTCGAGGACAAATTTTTTCTTAAATATTCGGGTAAGTGCCCAGCTGGCAGCAGCCGGCTTATTATCAAAAGGCCTTTTACATCTGAGAATGTTTCGTTGTAGTTCCGATCATTTGAATTTTCCGGATTTGCTATATAATGATTGAATTCATGCTCCAACAAACAGCAAGGAAATTAAGCTAATTAAAACAGATTTCCGATTTCGTGTAAGAAAACTACCTTTTTGCCCACATAAAATTGATATTGCAACCTTTTCCGGAAAAAGTAGTGAGTAGATTTGCAGATTGTTCTTTTAAATCGTCTCACCAGAAATCAAAATCGTGCCTTTTATTTCATATCTAAGAAGTAAATATATACAACATGGCACAGCATTTAGGAAGAAGAGAAGAAATAAGAACTTGGAAGAAATTCAGACAACAGAGATCCAATAAGACTTGTTCAGAAGAGCATGGTATGACGTGATAGAAATGCTAGGGACCTTAAGCAAACCACGACGGCAATGGCAACAAGAACGTCACCAAACAAAAGGTTTAATGAGAAAAACAATAGTTGTGCACGTGCGTCATAAATCTTTGTACATTTCTTTCCCGTCCTCTGCAAAACAACAACATGAAATGAAGTTCTGTGTATTTTGGACAACGTGAACGAGAGAGGCTAATTTTTCGTATTTTAATTTGGAATTAAACGCTGGCGTTACATATTTAGGTTGGGCAAGTTCTGAGACAAGAAGGCCCGCTAAACAGATCTAGACATCTGTGAAATTAGAAGATAAGATATAAATTCATCTTTTACTAGACGTAGTTGCTCAAGTTTGTTTTAGCGACGTTGACCCCGAGAATAACGCCTAGCAAAAAATGAATTTTATCTCCGAATTTCGCAATTGTCTAGATCCGTTCAGTGCGCCTATTGGTCTCAGAACGTGCTCAAGCTAAGTACGTAAACAATACGAAACATAAGGCGCCGTCGCTCGCGTTCTCCAAAATACGCAGAACTTAGTCATTTCACGTTGTTGTTTTGCAGAGGACTGCAAAGAAATGAACAAAAATTTATAACGCACGTGCACAGCTATTGTTTTGCTCATTAAACCTTTTGTTTGGTGATGTTCCCGTTGCCGTTGTGGTTTGTTTAAGCTCTCTGATAAGCTGTTAACCACTAAGTCATTATAAAATAACGAATGACGAAATTTAATTTAGGGACGATAATAACTCCGCCTTCTGAAAGAGCGAGCTACACTTCCACAGCACCAGTTCCAGCCAGTACAAAGTCGAAACAAAATAACATTGTGATCCCAAATTACTCAAATTCCTAGTTATCTTTTGCTTTCTGGTATCTTGCAGTCTTCTTAACGAAACCAGCATCAATAAGACTATAGGCCATATCTATTATGGTGACCTTTAACTCTGTGGGTTTGTAGTCCAGATCTTCTTTGACCTTCAATTTAAGAAAAAGTCTCGTCACATTGTAATAGTTATTTAGCAAAGCTCAAGTGGGGTACGATCTGAACATTATGGAGTTGTGTGGACAAGTTCTTGTGCTGCAATTTATGGTAAGGGAGCTAGGGAATCAGATGGACTAAATCATGGGAGTCTAAATGAAAGATGGGATAGTTACGATAAATTAAAAAAAAAGCGTTAGATTTGAGATCGTTATTTAGTGAGGCCCAAGTGTGGTACGATAAAGAAGCAAGCCAAGCCGAACCAAGCCGAGCCGAGCCGAGAGGAGCTGAGTCGAGAACAACTTCAAAGTTCCCGATACAGCGTTCCGAAATCCCGAACCCAAATCACAAATAACATAGTTGCATTACTCCCGAAACAGCAGCAGTTAGGAACTGGACGCGCTGAGCACAATGCTATGTGCTTCATGCCAAATATACAGGCGTTTCTGGCATGGCTAGGGTGAGTGACAACTTGACCGCATTTTACGTAATCAGTAAGTTGTTATAGACATATAGTTAACGTAGATTATATATTTATATTATATTTATACTCCCGAGACCGATAGCTGGATAAGTGGGTCTTGGCATTATTAATTGAGGCATTACCTTGGAATTATCCGTCTTGAGTTCCTTGCCGACAGCAGGCAGAATCATCTTCACCGAACCATCAAACAATGCCAGCACTCTCAGCCCAAACTTGGGGGCAATTCTTGTTGGTACATTATATCCTGATAGAGAGGAACATTTTGCCAGTCATTTGGGCCTTTAATTGAAGGTGTGAACTCTCCTAGATCTCCACTGGATATTTAGGTCAGTGAGATCACCACCTGATCACTTCCTTTTCTTTTTAATTAAAATTTTGCTTAAACAGCTTGTGCAAGTGATTGCAAAATGTTGTAGTTGATTTATTCTGTAACCTTTATTCGGTGTTCCGTGCTGCTGCATTAGATGAGGTGGGGTGCATTTGAGTGACAACCTGACATAACAATCATATTTTCACACCCACTAATATTATCTTACCAAGTGGCTTAAACTCTTCCTCCAAGATTTTAGCCATTTCAGGTGCCCACATTGATTCAGTGGTCGTGATATACCTGTTACCTAGAAAACAAGATAAATGCATAGATATACAAGAAAAAGGCAGATGGTGAAGGAAATCTGCGGGGAAAATTCAAAAATACTGTTTTTCAAAAGTCAGCAACATCATACACACTCATATCCCTGGGGGTGGGACTGCCATAATGTAACTGTTTTTGAACTGTTATCTCTTGGAGTGCACCCCAAAAGATACTTTGACACCTAAAAATAGTGGCTTTTCATCCTGAACGCTTTAAGTGAGACCAAAGTCCTTGATTTACAAACCTAAGTGAAATGACGAGTATCCCTGACCTTTTCATATGGGAGACTGCCCCCACCCGGGACTCATATTCATGTTCTATTTCTTACCAGGAGCTTTTGGTGACATCAATGCCTTTATATGTGCTCCAGCAACATCTCTGACGTCACACATTGCAAAGCATACCTTTGGAACCATTGGCACTTCTCGTTGAAGAAGACGTCTGTGAAACTGAGAAAAGTTGCACCAAGATGTAAGATATCATTTGGTAGTGAAAAATATCCCACATATGCATGGCTGGTCAGAGTTAATAAATCAAGTACCTCCATGCTAGTGCAGGTTGATCCCTGAAGCACAGGTCCCAGGATAAATCCAGGACAGATTACGCACAGTTCAAACTTCTCATCATCTACAAACAAACGTATGGTGTCTCAACATTATGTTACACAAAGAAAAATATCAATTCCATGTTCCCATTCTGCCAACCTTGTGCTAGAAAATGTTGGGAGAGGTTGATAGGGGAGCTCCGAGGCTTTTTGCTCCCATTTGACGCCTTCAAAGTAATGAAAGGACCAGAACTTTCAATAGGGAAAAGGTGGAAATGGATGGAGATAATAATAATTATTATCTGCATCCTTATTGCATGTTTGCACATACAAGTCATAATTAATTATAATTATGACTTGTATGTGCAAACCTGCAACAAGAATTTAAAAACTGAAATACCTGGCAAGTTTTTGACTAGTTCCCATGCTGCTCTCTCAGCACGAGCTTTGCTTTTTTCATAAGGAGTGCTCCCGTCCTCTGAGGACCAGTCTTCCTCAGTGAACACTTTTCCTTCATCAATTCTTCCACCTGCAGATACAATATTTACCACATAACATGGGGAGAGTTAAAAGATTAGAACCAGTACTTTTGCACATTTAATAATAACAATAATAACAATAACAATAATAATAATAATAATAATAATAATAATAATAATAATAATAATATCAGAATAACAGAGCTACAGAAGGAAGGTGATGGTATACAGCATACCAAGATGAAAGAAAGAGTGAGGAAGGAATACTACCGGAGAGTAAGGATGGTCCTAAAAACGGAGCTCAATGCTGCCAATAGATTTGAGGCAATCAACACCTTAGCTATCCCAGTGGTGACATACAGTTTTAATATAATCGACTGGAAGATGAGTGAAATCAAGAGGTTAGACACAAAAACAAGAAAACTACTCACCCTATCAAAAATGCATCACACAAAAGCAGATGTAGAC